AGAGATGTCCTGTATAGCGGAGTGTAGAGATATGTCCCTGTATAGCTGAAGGGAGTGTAGAGATATGTACTGTATAAGCGGAGTGTAGAGATATGTCCTGTATAGGAGTGTAGAGATATGTCCTGTATAGCGGAGTGTAGAGATACCCTGTATAGCCGGAGTGTAGCGAGAGAGATATGTCCTGAGTGTAGAGATAAGGTGTAGAGATATGTCCTGTATAGCTGAGATAGAGGAGTGTAGAGATATGTCCTGTATAGCGGTGTAGAGATATGTCCTGTATATGTGCCTGGAGTGTAGAGATATGTCCTGTATAAGTAGGAGTGTAGAGATATGTCCTGTATAGTATAGGAGTGTAGAGATATGTCCTGTATAGCGGAGTGTGGAGATATGTCCTGTATAGCGGAGTGTAGAGATATGTCCCTGTATAGCGATAGATGTGACGTCAGTCAGCATTGTTGAGACCAGTGGAGCAGTAGGGTTGTCAGTACAGAGTGATGATGCACTCAGTGCTCACCCAGCTGTGTACTCATTGCTCATTGATAGAAGAAGAGGGCAAAGGGTACATCCTATAACATTACCATGGCAACAACAGGAAAGGTTGTAGTGCCAGTGAAGCAGGACTGGTTATTCCAAGACAGATCAAACTGGTACCATCACCAGGTGTGTGTGTGAGGAGCACATCACACTGTTGGCACACACTAGCCCCACCTCACACGGCGACCCTCTGTCCCCAAGGAAGAAAGCTTTTGATGTGCTGAATACAAATTAATATAATGCCATGGCTTTCATGGTAAATTGATTCTTTAGAGTTATTCAGTGTATGTTGAGTTGAGTTGAGTTGAGTTGAGTTGAGTTGAGTTGAGTTGAGCTGAGCTGAGCTCAGAGCTGAGCTGAGCTGAGCTGAGCTGAGCTGAGTTGAGTTGAGTGAGTTGAGGTGAGGTGAGGTGTGAGGTGAGGTGAGGTGAGGTGAGGTGAGGTGAGGTGAGGTGAGGTGAGGTGAGGTGAGGTGAGGTGAGGTGAGGTGAGGTGAGGTGAGGAGAGGTGAGGTGAGGAGGAGGAGGTGAGGTGAGGGTAGAGTGAGGTGTGAGGTGAGGTGAGGTGAGGTGAGGTGAGGTGAGGTGAGGTGAGGTGAGGTGAGGTGAAATCGGTTTTTACGTTGTGCTTGAGAATATTTCGCTCATATGCCGACGTGCATGCATGTGTGTGTGTATGTGCAGCTGCTTGTACTAGCCCAGGCTTAAGCTGGTTTTATAGTGCTAGCCCACTGAGATACCACACCGCAGTGAGGCATGAATACCCCACTCAGACACATTATATTCACTCCGAGCCGACCAGTCCTTGTTGTACCGATTAATGCTGAGTGCCAGGCAGGGACCAACAAGTACCATATTTTAACGTCTTTTGGTATGACGCGGTCGGGGATTTGTAAAGGAAATAGTTGAATAAATTAGTTCTAGGTTAGATGATGGTGTGTTTCAGGGGAAGCATACAGCAGGATTCAGATACTGTAGATAATTAATACTGGTAGCTTAAGTACTGTCATGTCAGAAAGACAACTGTATCTCTTGCAAGAATACTGAGAAAAAAATGGCAACGAAAGTAAATACTCAAAAAAGATCTATTATTGTATTAGACAACTGTGACAGACACTCTAGAGAGATGGATCTGTAATCAGGTACCACATAACACAGATGGCTCCTATTAATATCTGGGTCAGACTCCTCTGCTAATTTGGACCACTGCTTCCCGTTACCTTGTGGAGCAGCTGTGTTGTGTTAAAATGCTTGAAGTGAATACAATATATCTGCTTGTAGTGAATACAATATATCTGCTTGTAGTGAATACAATATATCTGCTTGTAGTGAATACAATATATCTGCTTGTAGTGAATACAATATATCTGCTTGTAGTGAATACAATATATCTGCTTGTAGTGAATACAATATATCTGCTTGTAGTGAATACAATATATCTGCTTGTAGTGAATACAATATATCTGCTTGTAATGCCTGACAATATTGGACATAAAAACAGTACCGACATTACCATCAAAATGAGAGTTGAACAGATACACACAAAGGGAAACTTTGGAAATTGTAATCAGGAGACGTTATACATGTACTATATAGGGCTGGTGCATGTGGCAGGAATCTGTTCTGTAATCAGGAGACGTTATACATGTACTATATAGGGCTGGTGCATGTGGCAGGAATCTGTTCTGTAATCAGGAGACGTTATACATGTACTATACTGACACCTGTGATGTGCCCTCATACATCAGTGTTATCGAATGCTATATGACACCTGCGATGTGCCCTCATACATCAGTGTTATCGAATGTTGTATGACACCTGTGATGTGCCCTCATACATCAGTGTTATCGAATGCTATATGACACCTGCGATGTGCCCTCATACATCAGTGTTATCGAATGTTGTATGACACCTGTTATGTGCCCTCATACAGACATTAGTGTTATCTAATGCTATGACACCTGTGATGTGCCCTCATACATCAGTGTTATTGAATGTTGTATGACACCTGTGATGTGCCCTCATACATCAGTGTTATCGAATACTATGACACCTGTGATGTGCCCTCATACATCAGTGCTATCGAATGTTATATGACACCTGTTATGTGCCCTCATACAGACATCAGTGTTATCGAATGCTATGACACCTGTGATGTGCAATCATACATCAGTGTTATTGAATGTTGTATGACACCTGTGATGTGCCCTCATACATCAGTGTTATCGAATGCTATGACACCTGTTATGTACAATCATACATTAGTGTTATTGAATGTTGTATGACACCTGTGATGTGCCCTCATACATCAGTGTTATCGAATGCTATGACACCTGTTATGTACAATCATACATTAGTGTTATTGAATGTTGTATGACACCTGTGATGTGCCCTCATACAGACATCAGTGTTATCGAATGTTGTATGACACCTGTGATGTGCCCTCATACATCAGTGTTATCGAATACAATATGACACCTGTGATGTGCCCTCATACATCAGTGTTATCGAATGCTGTGTGACACCTGTGATGTGCCCACATACAGACGTCAGTGTTATCGAATGAGTATACATATCACTATATATATCACCTCCTTGTCACTATATATATCAACTCCATGCCACTATACATATCACCTCCATGACACAATTTTTTATCACCTCCATGTCATTATATATATCACCTCCATGCCGCCATATATATCACCTCCATGTCACTATACATATCACCTCCATGCCACTATATATATCACCTCCATGTCACTATATATATCACCTCCATGCCACTATATATATCACCTCCATGCCACTATATATATCACCTCCATGTCACTATACATATCACCTCCATGTCACTATATATATCACCTCCATGCCACTATATATATCACCTCCATGTCACTATATATATCACCTCCATGCCACTATATATATATCACCTCCATGTCACTATATATATCACCTCCATGTCACTATATATATCACCTCCATGCCACTATATATATATCACCTCCATGTCACTATATATATCACCTCCATGCCACTATATATATAATCTCCATGCCACTATATATATCACCTCCATGTCACTATATATATATCACCTCCATGTCACTATATATATCAACTCCATGCCACTATACATATCACCTCCATGCCACAATATATATCACCTCCATGTCATTATATATATCACCTCCATGTCACTATATATATATCACCTCCATGTCACTATATATATCACCTCCATGTCACTATATATATCACCTCCATGTCACTATATATATATCACCTCCATGTCACAATATATATATCACCTCCATATCACTATATATGTCACCTCCATGCCACTATATATATCAACTGCATGTCACTATACATATCACCTCCATGTAAATATATATATCACCTCCATGTAACTATATATATCACCTCCATGCCACTATATATATCACCTCCATGTCACTATATATATCACCTCCAAGGCACTATATATATATCACCTCCATGTCACTATATATATCACCTCCATGCCACTATATATATCAACTCCATGTCACTTATATATATCACCTCCATGTAAGTATATATATCACCTCCATGTCACTATATATATCACCTCCATGCCACTATATATATCAACTCCATGTCACTTATATATATCACCTCCATGTAAGTATATATATCACCTCCATGTAACTATATACATCAGCTGCATGACACAATATATATAACACTTCCATGTCACTATATATATATCACTCCATGTAACTATATACATCAGCTGCATGACACAATATATATCACATCCATGCCACTATATATATCACCTCCACCTCTTCACATGACACAATATATGTCATGTGCATATCACTAAATATCACCCGGTGTCACTTGCATCACAACCAGGACAGTGAGTCACTAAGGCATCATGTTAGTCAAGCATGGATGTCAATACCCTATCAGGTGGTCAACCTGGGACATCACTAACAGATCAAGAGGTCAGGTAATAGAAATGCCTGCTGGTGTTCACTGTTGCTGCCACTTTGCAGAACATAACGCCAGATTACAGATGAATAATTCTTTAAAACCGAAACACTACATATTCCCTCTATAACACTACATATCATCAACACAGTACCCTCTGTTTGTGTGTGTGTGTGTGTGCGTGCGTGCGTGCTTGTGTTTGTGTCTGTGTGTGCGTGCGTGTGTTTGTGTCTGTGCGTGTGTTTGTGTCTGTGTGTGCGTTGGTGTTTGAGTGTGCGTGCATGTCCCCCATTTAACTGAAATGAGCACTGTACATTGTAATTACCAAAGATGACAATGTTCCTGTACCTCGTCAACAGGTGCTCCACATCCCTCCTGCCACACTACGGCGTCGTTCGTTACCAGAACGAGGTCGGCAACCACGATCCTGTTCTGAACATGTAACACTGTTTCACACAACGAGATGCATCGTACACCTACCTCCGCTGTAGGCGACTCCATCGCCGACTGTCACCCACAATCGTCCACGGCGATGACGCACGTTTGTTGAAAGGTGCTTGTGTTGATGCAGGTATTGCGTGTGTTACAACTGTGTGGCCTGTACAACGTTGTCCTTCCACAGTACATCAAAATACACAGCCGCCATATTCACCCAGTTTTGTACTTTTCTTAACAGGAGAGTAAGTATTCGTCCTTGACCTCAATACCAAAAAAGCGCTATCGCCGAGCGCCATGGAAACGTAAATATCTTGAATGTGGCTCAGTGTACATCAAAAGGGAGACGTTAGTAAATAATCCAGTTTGCTGTCGAATTAGAACAATCCAAAGAAAATTGTCATTCAAACACTTGATCAGGAGAGTATGCCTGGAGTCTCCAGGCAGTCGGGTTCATTGTCATGGTTGAGTGGAGACACGGTACGATAGAATGTCAGTAAGGATCACCTAGTTTGTTCGAACTGAAACAGGGCGGAAACCTGTCACAAGTGATATATTATGAACAGGTGGAGCTGTCGTAATATAGAGCTGTAGTCAAATGTCGCCCCCGCAATTAGTCCAGGTAAATAAACCTATTTCCCACATTTATAATGAGTCCAGGTAAGTATGCAGTAGGCCTGGTGTTATTTCCTGCATCATTAATGAGTCGAGTTGAATATCGTTATTTCCCGCATTATATTTGATTCCAGGTAAATATAGCGTTGATTCTCGCATTATTACTGAATCCAGTTGAATATCGTTATTTCCCGCATTATTTTTGATTCCAGGTAAATATAGCGTTGATTCTCGCATTATTACTGAATCCAGTTGAATATCGTTATTTCCCGCATTATTTTTTATTCCAGGTAAATATAGCGTTGATTCTCGCATTATTACTGAATCCAGTTGAATATCGTTATTTCCCGCATTATTTTTGATTCCAGGTAAATATGGGGCGGTGGGGTAGCCTAGTGCTTAAAGCGTTGGCTCGTCACGCCGAAGACCCGGGTTCGATTCCCCACATGGGCACAATGTGTTAAGCCCATTTCTGGTGTCCCCCGCCATGATATTGCTGGAATATTGCTAAAAGCAGCGTAAAACTAAACTCAGTCAGTCAGTCCAGGTAAATATAGCGTTGATTCTCGCATTATTACTGAATCAAGTTGAATTTAGTTATTTCCCGCATTAGTGAGTCAGGGTAAATATAGAGTAATTTCCTACTGACCATAGTACTACGCCTATTGTAATGGTGAATCACACCCTCACACCCTCACACCCACACCCCACACCCCCTCTCCAATTAAAAAAATTGAAGGGGGTGACAACCATTATTAAAGAAACTGTGCACACACAAAATATTAAGATAGGCAGACAGCGTCTTTATACATAAATAAAGGTGTGAACATAGCAAGTATTGGAGACAATCAAACGCTCATGCAGGTGCCAGGCGACGTGACGTCATTGATGGTGGCCTATGGACTTGCAATGTGTTACTGCACGTGCATCCTGTGCAGCTGCACACAACATGTGAAACTCAGAGATTGCTGTCACTGTCGAAAGCTTGATCTTTGGTCATTCAAACGTTCACAAATTCGCACGAGAAGTCAAATGTACATCATGCCAAGATTAACATCAGCTCAACGTCATGAAGCCATTGGAATGGTTCGAGCAGGAATGAGCCAACAACAGGTGGCAGCACATTTCCAATGCCATCGTAACACGATATCTGCATTGGTCAGGCGTTATGGAAACAGTAATGACGTCTCCGACCACCCACGTTCTGGGCGTCCCCGAGTAACGACGCCAAGACAGGACAGATGGATTCTGGTGACTCATCTCAGACACATATGTGTTCCAGACGGCAGTGACCACGTCCCAGACCATTCCCCAGGCCTTCTATGCTCATTTGGTAGCCTCTATGCGTCGTCGATGCACTGATGTGATTCACGCGCATGATGGTCATACCCGTTATTGAATTTGTGACTTCGACGTGTGACCCCCTACTCACTTTGAACTTCTGACGTCATCGTTACGGATATTGTTCATGTTCTTTTCACATGTTGTATGGCTCGATACTTCAGCTTATAAAGTGTCTACATCATTTCGTCTTTTCTGTGTTGTATTGCATTTCCTTAAGGAATTTTCTGTGTGCACAGTTTCTTTATGTGGCTAGTATATTTAGAAAACTTCTTTGAGTGGCATTTTATAGAAGTTGGGATCGAAGTACAATAATAGACAAACTTTATGGATAACAACTTCTTTTATTTCGTGAGTTCGACATTTCGATACAGATTCTTGGTAAATATACAGTTCTTAGCGTTATTTCCCGCATTATTAATGAGTCGAGTTGAATATCGTTATTTCCCGCATTATTAATGAGTCGAGTTGAATATCGTTATTTCCCGCATTATTAATGAGTCGAGTTGAATATCATTATTTCCCGCATTATTAATGAGTCGAGTTGAATATCGTTATTTTCCGCATTATAAATGAGTCGAGTTGAATATCGTTATTTCCCGCATTATTAATGAGTCGAGTTGAATATCGTTAAAGAATCTGTATCGAAACGTCACACTCACGAAATAAAAGAAGTTGTTCTCCATAAAGTTTGTCTATTTTAGTATGCAGATGCCTTATATTCCTGTTACGTAAATGTCTTAAATACACAACAATAGCCTCCAGTTCTGTAGGTAAGATTTGTTTTCTATAGGTAAGATAGCACAAGCTTCACAGATTAGAAACCAGTCATTGTTCTGGCCCTGTATGGGTGCCCCAGTCAGCTGATAATGTTCATATGTTTTTAACAAAATTCCGGGAACGCACCATAAGTATACTTGTTTTTTTAAATATTGGCATTCTAATGTAAACGAAAGTATGAATTGTTTTAATTTCTTATCGAACCTGAAAAATACCTTTTCGTACCAACGTGTGGAACAATACGTGATTTAGTTGTCCAGTATAGTTTTAGTTTGTAGGAGTTAAAGATCAACGAAGGTGTCAGGGTGTCAGAGTCATAGCGTCAGGGTCCGGGTGTCAGTGTCTCGGTGTTCGAGTCAGGGCGTCAGGGTCCGGGTGTCAGAGTCTCGGTGTTAGAATCAGGGCGTCAGGGTGTCAGTGTCTCGGTGTTAGAGTCAGGGCGTCAGGGTCCGGGTGTCAGAGTCTCGGTGTTCGAGTCAGGGTCCGGGTGTCAGAGTCTCGGTGTTAGAGTCAGGGCGTCAGGGTCCGGGTGTCGATGTCTCGGTGTTCGAGTCAGGGTCCGGGTGTCAGAGTCTCGGTGTTAGAGTCAGGGCGTCAGGGTCCGGGTGTCAGAGTCTCGGTGTCAGAGTCAGGGCGTCAGGGTCAGGGCGTCACGGTGTCCCCTGTGTGCTGAATGCATGATAGATGGTACTTACCTGTTACTAGAGGATTTTTTGTGTTACCTATGAATCGAATGAATTTGATAAGTCGTTTGGCCAGTTAACTTAAGAGATTCTTGAGTCACCTAAAACAAGAAATGAAATTTCAGAAAGCATTGCAAATTTAAGATGCCGGTGAAGATAACCTGATTCCTGAATTCTTTATATATTCATCCGGAATCCTCCTCCCCTACCTTGAAATCCTTTTTACCGTTATGCTTGAAAAGTCTTACTTTCCAGAACAATGGACTTTTTAGTAAATTAGTAAAGTATGGGAAAGAAGTATGAGGCCAAGAACTCTACGATGCACCAGAGACAGTACATCTTTATGCATGTCAAAATATGTTCAGGAATTAACTCAAACACCCCAAATGTTACAGTTTATGGGGAATGTGGGAGATACCCTATGTATATATTTAGTTACATAAAACTAATAAAATATTGGCTATGTTTGCTCAAACTGCCAAGTATCAGGAGGTATAACATGAATACCATTTCTGGCTTGTTTGTCCATTGTATGCGAATATCAACCGAGATATCGAGTTATCAGAGTTCGACACAACGGTGCTCGACTGTATATATACCATGCAATGAATATCATACCCTCTGCATTACACGTGTAATATTATTTACGATATATTACAGGTGTAATATTATTTACGATATATTACACGTGTAATGTTATTTACGATATATTACAGGTGTAATATTATTTACGATATATTACAGGTGTAATATTATTTACGATATATTACAGGTGTAATATTATTTACGATATATTACACGTGTAATATTATTTACGATATATTCATTTCTATTGCACCCTCTGCTACTGCATGTGAAAATGTACTATAGGCCCCTGGTCTTTTCAGTACTGTAAATACAGACTGATTGAGTGACCTGCTACTATTCTTCCATGATCCACTAGTAACTGCTACAGGGCACCTGCACTTTTACGTCCTCAAAACTAGGTAAGCCGCCAGCGTCAGCTTGTCTGATGTTGGAGGTGATTTAAGGGAGAGCGATTATTGAGGATTGCAAATGCCCAAGGACAGGATTCATCGTTCAGTGTTTCCACAGCCGCCAGACCTGTTATATGTAGGTATCACAGGTATCGCCGGGAGACCTGTTATATGTGGGTATAATAGGTATCGCCGGCAGACCTGTTATATGTAGGTATCACAGGTACCGCCGGCAGACCTGTTATATGTGGGTATCATAGGTATCGCCAGCAGACCTGTTATATGTAGGCATCACAGGTACCGCCGGGAGACCTGTTATATGTAGGTATCATAGGTATCGCCGGCAGACCTGTTATATGTAGGTATCACAGGTACCGCCGGCAGACCTGTTATATGTGGGTATCATAGGTATCGCCGGCAGGCCTGTTATATGTAGGTATCACAGGTACCGCCGGCAGACCTGTTATATGTAGGTATCATAGGTATCGCCGGCAGACCTGTTATATGTAGGTATCATAGGTATCGCCGGCAGACCTGTTATATGTAGGTATCATAGGTATCGCCGGCAGAGCTGTTATATGTGGGTATCATAGGTATCGCCACCAGACCTGTTATATGCGGGTATCATAGGTATCGCCACCAGACCTGTTATATGCGGGTATCATAGGTATCACCGGCAGACCTGTTATATGTAGGTATCATAGGTATCGCCACCAGAGCTGTTATATGTAGGTATCATAGGTATCGCCGGGAGACCTGTTATATGTGGGTATCATAGGTATCGCCACCAGACCTGTTATATGTAGGTATCATAGGTATCGCCACCAGAGCTGTTATATGTGGGTATCATAGGTATCGCCACCAGACCTGTTATATGTAGGTATCATAGGTATCGGCACCAGACCTGTTATATGTGGGAATCATAGGTTTCGCCGGGAGACCTGTTATATGTAGGTATCATAGGTATCGCCACCAGAGCTGTTATATGTAGGTATCATAGGTATCGCCACCAGAGCTGTTATATGTAGGTATCATAGGTATCACCGGGAGACCTGTTATATGTGGGTATCATAGGTATCGCCACCAGACCTGTTATATGCGGGTATCATAGGTATCGCCACTAGAGCTGTTATATGTGGGTTTCATAGGTATCGCCACCAGACCTGTTATATGTAGGTATCATAGGTATCGCCAC